CAAGTCTGTATTTCTGCACTCTGGTGGGTGTGAATACACCTTTGTCAGATGTACAAAGCCAGTATTTTAGTATCAGACAACCCAAAAAATTCAGGGGCTGCTGGGAGGAGCTGTGCCCCAGGCCTGCCCAGAGCACTGGGATCTCCCCCTTTGCCCTCTCAGCTCCTAAGGGCTGAAGCATGGTCTGATGGGCTCTCCCCAGGCTGAAGCCACCCAGGCACAGTGACACAGGGTCAGTCCTGGCTCACCATGCAGATGCTTGCACAGCCTCATGGCTGGGAGCAGCATGGAGCAGGCTGCAGCTGGCTCTGCGCTGCTCCATGCTCGCCATACCACCAGGAGCTTGGCTATAGCTGTGCCACAGCACCGGGGCGGTGTGGACAGGCTCTGAGTTGAAGCCAGGACAGCAGATGGCCACGATGGGCAGGCAGGGGAGCACAAGACCATGGCACGGGTCACAGCACGGCAGCTGCCTAAACGGGAATATCCATCTGCCCCAGCACAAGCCCTCTCTAGTTCCCAAGGCAGGGTGTCTGGCACTGCTGCCAGCCTCCCACTGGCTCTGCCTGGCCTCCTGGAAGAGGAACATGGAAGATGTGCTGACAATCCCATGGTCACCAGGTCTCATGCAGAGATACGCGGTGCCAGGTTTGAGCTGACGTGGCAGCATGGCTTTGCGCACAAGGGATGGGCTGGTTGCCTCATCCACACACGAGCAGTGAGACAGAATCGTTAACCCTGTTCTTCATCAGCAGGCGTGTAAATCCTCATCTGGAGGACAGCGTGCAGGCAGCCCCCGTGCAGCCCTCCTTGCTGCCAGGATGGCCATGGTGTGACATGGAGCACGCGGCCCAAATGCAGCCCCAGCTGGGCCTTCCCCTGCTTGGGGAGGTGGGAAATGGCCTCTAGCCCATGAGCAAACCTCACCTTGGTCTGCAAAGGCCACCTGCAAGGCTGGCACAGGGAGGTGCGGGTGGGACGATTCGCCTCCGGGGGAACCTGTTAAGATGCTTTTCGAAATCTAGGGGGTTTGGGGTGTGACCGAAAGCCTACAGGGATCATTTTTCATGACTGTCGTGTTAAATGTCCACTGAGGACAGGGGCTAGAAAACGGACAGTGTTGACATTAGACACGGGCAAATTCCAAGGCAGTCCCACAGGGACCCTCTCCTCCAGCTCCTGTGACGTGACTCCAGATCTCCACTGCTGTCGATCAGAGCAGAATTTGACCAGTCCTATCTAATGAAGATGTTTTTCCCTGACAGGTTTCATTACATGAAGTATTTCATAGGTTTAATCACTAAAATGCCCAATCTCATCACAGTGCTGTGAAGTTGATCCACTGTCTTGGTCCCCTGGGAGGGGACAGTCCCCGCTGCCTGACACTTAATTTCAGAGCCCACAAAACCTCTGTGTTGGGAAAAACACCTGCTCTGCCACAGTGGAGGCAAAACTGGCATGGCTACATTGCAGCACCTTTCTCCTTGGGAAGGAGAAATCTCCCAAATTTCTCTCCTCTGGGGCATTTCCAAAGACCAGAGGAAGGGAATTCCCCCTCCTGCCTGCTCTCACCCAACTTCTCTCCTGCCTATTTTTATTGCCACCCTGTGAGTTAATCCTTGGCTGCTCTTTTGCCAAACCGGTTACACTTAAAAAGCCAAAGCGATCTGTCTGGGGAAGAGAGTCAGCTTGAGAGCAGAGAGGGGCAAACCACAAGCCGCAGAGCTGCTTTTCGGAGTGGCTGATCTTTGCACGGGGGCAGCTGGAGGTGAGGGGAATACCCGCCGCGAGCAGATCTTCCTGCGGTATTTACAGGCTGCGCGACCCTTCCGGGATGCAAGAGAGAGATCTTTAGAACGAAGCGCGCTGTGACATCTGCAAGACTTTGCCTTTGATGAGTCTCTTTGATGAGTCTTCTAACATAATGTTCATCTTCCTCTCTCCGGGAAACAGAGGAAGGCTACAGAAGCCACACGTCTTCTGTTTTAAGGCCACGGATTTGCAAGGGTACTGCTGCCAGCTGTAAGGAGGGCTGAGGGACTTCCTCAGAGAACGGTTCTGCTGCTGATGTACATACACGTGTGGTCACCGGCAAAACACGTGTTTTCCCACTTTCAAAACATAGGCCTTGCCTTTGAGATAAAGCCGTGGGAGGGGTCATAAGACTATCTTATTTCTCTCTCAAAACAGGGGTTGTCTATGACATAACACCACGGGACCTCGCGCCATGTTGTAGGAAATACAGTATGAGCGCTTCCAACCCGGATTTAACTTTACTGAATCACACTGGCATGTTTTAACGGTGTTACTTTGCAGCAGCTCATGGAATAAATGCTTATTCCTGGATATTACCAGCAGGACATTTGCAGGCCAAAAGCATAGACAATGTATGTCTTGTTTTGGAAGCAGAAAAGAGGTAAAATTTGTGATGGGGAACTGGGGAAAGAGAATTCATTTGCTTAAGTGCTGGAATTAGCTCCCCAAAAGAGAAGTGATAAAAACCTACCACCAGATGTCATCTTGAAGCTAACAAATAGCTTCCAAACCCGCCGGGACGAGGGACACTGGGGGGACATCGAGGTGAAATGAGAAGGCACTGGGGGTTTCTTTAACGGGATCACTGCGCCCTGGCAAGTGAACAGAGACGGAGAGGTTTCAGAGTTGGCTTTGCAAAGTCTTTTACGCTTGCTTGGATAAATCCCCGCCAAATGCACAGCATGGAAATTAAAAAAAAAAAAAAGTTCTAAAAAATTTGTCTTGATGAAAAGCCCCGTTCTGGAGCTCAGCTCTGCTCGAGTGTCAGAGAGCAGAAGACACTGACAGATTTGAGTAGTTCCATCTGCTTTGTCACTGATTAAAACATGATGGATATGATAATAATTGCTTAATGGCTTAATTACAAAAACTCTGCTGCACCCTGTGTTTGAGCTGTCATTAGAATAGGTGTTTGCATATGGTTGATATTTAACATTTGGAAGTGTGGGAAAATTTCCTGTGAAGGAAATTGAGAAGGAAAATTAAGAAAACAGGACAGCTTTTTCCCCCCACACAAAATACTTTTAATCTATTACCTGTGCAGAAATTATTACTTTTTTTGCAGTTAAATTTACAGAGAAAGTTTCACTGTAGACTTGGGTGAAATTCTGAGACTAAATTCGATCAATGAATTGCAGAGTAGATATTTTAATCCAACTGTAAGGGTAAATCTCCGTTCAGTATTATTTGTAAAGTTGGTGCTGAGGTTTCCAACATGAAACACACTCAAGCACATTTTGGATTGACCTGAAAAGATTAGGTGTAAACTTAATGACAAAGGATAACGAGCAAACATATTACTAATATGGTAGTACGGTAAGGCTGAGCGATGTGTGAGAGCCTTTTTAGTTATAACTCTGCTGTTTAACTGTTTGGGATATGGTTATTCTATATGAGACTCTATAGCACATGAACTTTGGGTTTTTTTGAAGAATTTCAGTAAAAATAGCTCAGCCTTTGCCAAGGATGAGGTCAGGGGAAAGAAAAAAAAGAAATCAATCCCTTGCCAATGTAAAACAAAACCAAAACCCCCTTACAACCCTTTAATGAGATGTTCTAGTCCCGCTGTGCTTTGGAATGGATACTTGAAGTTTGGCAGCGTGTCCTAGCAGGAAGAAAGGTATCTTTTTCTATACCTGTTACAAGCTGCCTACATGTGGATAAGTTACAGTCTGAAACAAATAACAGTTTATATGCAAAAATCCCAGACTTATTACAGCCTGGTAGCCAAAACCTCAGGAAATTTGAGATGCATCGAGCAGGCTACAGGCAGGAACTGGCGGGGCTGGGCGGGATGCTCTGTGTGCTCCTCCGCTGGGACGGACACCACGGCCGCGGGGTGAGCTTGAGTAAAACGCTGAAGTCGTGAAAGCTGGAACAAGGGATGGATCCCTTCCGTGGGAAGCGGAGCAGGGGGTCAGGCAGCTAGGGGCGGTAACGGCAGGGATGCCGCCGCGGAGCCCGGTTACGGTCACTTTAAAGCGAGGCGTGGCCCCATCCGCGTGTAAGCGGCTGTCCGGGTGTAGGGGCAAGGGCTGGTGGCGGAACTGGCTGCGGGGCCGGTCAGTTTCAGGGCGAGGAGCCGGCGGAACCCGCAGCACGAAGGCC